CTCTTTGATCATCGGACCAGTGTGTGGCTGCCTTGCTTGTCCTGTGCCTCAATTTAAAGGCTACACTACCTGTGGGACACCTAGCCTGTGGACTGTGTCGCTGTAAGTTGAGGTCCCTTTAAGACATCGCTGGAGCTGGGGACTGGCAGTTGGTGACCTGCCTTCTGATTGGCTGCTGTGCTGACATAGCCTAGCTCTCTCTATTAATAAAGATCTGGCAGCAGATTGGACTGGAAGGACTGCTAGTCTCTCACAAGTCTCTCACGGGAGTTGAATTGAGCCATTTGTAGTGCTTTATAATTTAACTGTTTCTTTCTTGTATTATATATTTAACTGTATATGATTTAACAGTTCATTCCTTGTTATATATCTACTTATCTTTATAACTAAATATATTAAATTATCGGCAATTTGGTTTTATCTCTCTAGAGAATCCTAACACAATCATCAAAACATTTTTTCACTTGAGCCCTTAGTATCAGCTCATTTCCCCCTCCCTCTCGAACACTTGATAATTTATAAATTATTTTTCACGTCTTACACTGTCTGATGTCTCCCTTCACCTACTTTTCTGTTGTCCATTCCCCTGGGAGGGGGCTATTGTGATTGGTTCTCTTTCTCCCCCACCTTCTCGTTACCCTCCTGGTATCACTACTTTCATTATTGGTCCTGAGGGACTTATCTGTCCTGGATTCCCTGTTTCCAGCTCTTATCTGTACCAGTGTACATCCTCGGGTCTAGCCAGATTTGTAAGGTAGAACTGGGATCATGATAGTGGGAGGAGGAAGAGTGAAAGAACTAGAGGAAAGTTGTATGTTTCATGGTTGCTATACTGCACCCTGATTGGCTGTCATTCATTTCCAATGTGTCATTTCTGGCAATGAAGACCATGTGGTTGCTGGATTCAGAATGGTTAATACCAGGCCGCCTTTATTGACAAAATATCAAAATATGAAGCCATTGTTGTCAACGTAGCCTCCATTTAGTTTAGTTTCCATATCTCTAGCCCTTCTTTGAAGTATTCTATGTTCTTCATATTATATCACATCAAAACAGCAGTTTTGCCATGTTTGAGGACACTCAAATTGTGTTTCTTTTCATTGGGAACAAAAAAGAAGTCTGAAGGGGCAAGTTCATGCTTGAGAGATGGATAGGGTAAGATTTCCCAACAACATTCTCATAGGAAAACCCTGCTACAGCCTTGAAGAATAATCAGGTGTCTTGTCATCATGGAAAAAATTCCTTAGAGCAATTTCCTTGTCCTTTTTTCTAACCAAAGCACGCTTCAATTTTCTTAAAACTTTTAAGAAAAAATTCCTTAGAGCAATTTCCTTGTCCTTTTTTCTAACCAAAGCACGCTTCAATTTTCTTAAAACTTCATTCTATTCAAGAAAATCTATCCAGATTACCTCTTAGAATCCTCCCCTCCCCCCCCAAACAAACAAAACCCCACAGTTGCCACAATTTTCTCACCTGGATTCTCTGCCCAATTACCTCAGAAGCCAGGGTTTTGATTGGACCTTGCTCTCTGGATCACATTGGTAAATCCAAGACTTGTTCCTAGATATGTTCCTTCCATAAAATTGTCATTAGCTTTGATCTTACTTCCAGGACAGATGACAAAATCAGCTCTGAGCTAGCTGACCTTAGCATGCTTTGGAGTAAAAAACTTGATGAGGCCAAGATGTTCAAACCACATGAGATCCCAACTTGTGGTAACTATGGCATCGGTGGTCATTTTATGGTCTTCTTCCATCAGTTCTGGGCTTCAGCCAGTTTCTTCACTCATCCAAGGTTGATGGTCTTTCCTCTGTCGGCTCATCTCTGGGTGTTCCTTTCTTCCCAATGCCTGACCCACTGTTGTGGGGCAGCCCTACCATAGACCTGTTGCAAAACTTCAATGATTCTGGAAGATATCCCCATGAGTTGTTAAAGAGAGTTAGCCCTGACCTCCACGTTGTTTTTCTATGGCACAAGTATACTTTTTTGGTTAAAGGCACTTTAACAACACTACAACAAACACATTACTGAGAAACTTCTACCAAAGACCTGCTATACCCTCGAGGAAGAAGCATGATGGGAAAAAGTTCCTTGGTGCAATTTCCTTAGATTTTTTTTAACCAAAGCATGTTTCAATTTTCAACAAATTAGGTATTGTTTGGAATAAACCTGTATATATATTGACTGGAACCCTAGAAGCAATATTTCATTTATTTTTGTAAAAACCAAGAGACTTCTATTTTCAAATATTTTAAATGGGAAACATTGGTTGTTAACAGGAATGGGGAATTGGTGACTGGGAGAACAGAGTGGGAATATTTTGCTTTAAAAAAAACAAACACTCTTCTAACCTTGAATTTTGAACTGCATAAATGTATTTCCTATTTAAGTCTTGAAAAAGTGAATGATTTGAAGTGTTTTGAAAAGGATAGATCATTTTCATGGCAGTACTTCCCCTAATAGGCCTATTCTCAGATCCATCAACTTCAGCCAGAACCTTGTAGATACAGAGCCTCCAGGGCAGTGGTCCTCAACCTTCCTCACATGGTGGGGACACCCAACCATAACATTATTTTTGTTGCTACTTCATAACTATAATTTTGCTACTGTTACGAATCCTCATGCAAATATCTGACATGCAGTATGTATTTTCATTGTTACACACTGAACATCATTGAAGCATAGTGATTCAGCACAAAACATGTAATTAATATATTGTGAAATACTTATTTTTAATTACAAATAAATGACATTTTGTCTGGAAACATGGGGGTAAGATGGGTAACATTCATCATGCCGGGTACTTGTATGTGGGCGTATATACATGTGGACAGACCCACCTGGAGACAGAGCGGTGTCTCGGTTCCTAAGACCATCAGAAATATGTTTTTTGATAGTCTTAGGCAACCCCTGTGAAAGAGTCATTCGACCCGCCAAAGGGGTCACGGCCCACAGGTTGAGAACCACTGCTCTAATGTTCCTGAGAGGGTAGAATTTTGACCTTGAGGACAGCTGTTCAGCAACCTTCCTGGCTGGCCGAGTGTGTGTGTGTGTGTGTGTGGTCACCAGGCAATTAGTGACCAGAGACAGGCTCCCTTGTGGTGACAGGACACGGAACTTGGGATGCTGAAAATCAGGATGTTTGCTAGATGTCAACAAACACTCCATGTTTGGCTCACCTGGGCTAAGTTCTCACTCTTGACTTCAATCTTCTGATTTTACTGGAAAGCCATGGGCAGAGGACCCACAAGTTAGGGTCAGCCAGCAGCCACTGTTTGAGCAGCCATGCTCTCCTGGTTTCTTTCATGTGAAGCTGGGCCAGAAAAGGCATTGTGAGGGTGCTTCCATGGTGTGTGGGGGAGGGCTGGCTCTCTAGGTGGCAAAGCATGAAGGAAAATAATGGTGCTTGAGGGGCCTCTGGGAGCTGGGGCATCCTGATTTCATCCTCACCTAACAAGCACTAGGCCGTGGTAGAGAAGGTGGGCTGGAGGGTGGTGGGGCGGTTGGCCCAACATGGCATGATGGGGTCAGATGGGTATGGGAAATGGTTATTGTCCTTTAAATATTACATGTTTTGCCAAATTACTGATCCCAGTCTCCATAAATCAAGGCTGTCAGACTCCCATATCCAAGTCATTGGAGTATTCTTAAGAGATCCTCAGCAGTGGCAGAGGCCAAGTGCCTAGAACTGAGCTTGGCCCTCAACAAGCCTTGGAAGTTACATAAATGAATGTTTTTTAGATTTTCCTGAGTGGTAGTAAGCAGTGAAAACCAGTGTTGTACACCACCTCCAGAAATCCTGTGTTAACCACCCAGGGCCAAGGCCCGTCTCCACACCCCCCACCCCCAGGAAAAGCAAACCCGGGTTCTATTTCCTTCTTTCACAACTCTCAGCAGCAAAAGCTGTACCCTTCCCATATAAATGCAACAAGGATTTCTTTGTAATCCACTGCAAAGGAAGACGCTTAAGCTTTCCGGGTAACGAGAAAGCTAGCTGGATTGGCAGGCAACCTCAGGTGGCTAATGAGTAATGTTTGTGGTCTGTCCAAAGGGATCAGGCTTCCATGACTTAAAAAAGCAGTCCTGGTGAAGGGTGCTGTCTGGACGGTGTTGGGGAGGTCACGCCTCTCAGGTAAGGGCAACCCCAGGGCCGTGCATGTGCAGCTGCTTGGCAGTAATGCACCACAGGAGAAATGCCTTGTTATAGCTTTGGAACCTGATGCACCACTTGTCACCCTGGGTTTTGGGTTCATCAGTTAGAGAGGGAATGTGGGATTCCTCCAGCTCTCACCACTTTACGATACCTAACTTCTCTCCTTAGCAACAAACACAACACCATTGGGAGAGGCAATGGTGGTGGTGGGCAAGGGGGAAGGTGGGGATGACTTTGGGGGTCATTCATTTCAAAATGGGGGCAGTGGTATGTTTTGTGGATTAAACAAGATAAAGTGCATGGAAAGACTGGATCATGTCACCTTATGGTGACATGCAAAATACACACGGGTTTCCTTCCTTGGTTCCTACTTTCAGCAAATGTGAGAGGGATGTAAATGTGTTGACATGTCTCAAAATATAACCATTCCCAAGAGTGAGAGAGTTTTGACATCAGGTCTGATTCACGTCTAACGCTAGAGGCCTGCCCCATCCCTAACCTTCCCAGAGAGGTACTGGAAGATCGAGGGCAAAGGTTGCAAGGAGAAGCACATGGGCATACGCCACAGGAAGCACTACTCGGACACATAAATAGGTATGGCCCTGCTACACGACCAACCTTGCCGGGCACCATCTCAGACCCACTCTGTGGCAGCGCTAGGTGACTTGGGTCCTGGGTAGCCCATACAAGAGGTCCCAGGCAGGGAAGCTTTTGTGGGAAGGTGCAGTCAACCTCCTCCTTTCAAGGCAGGTCAACACCATCCGAGACTGGATGGCAGGCAGTATGGGATAAAGAGGTCACCGCTGAGGAGCAAAACATGATTCTAAATGAGGCACAGGAAGACAGATTTTCCTTCACTTAACCATTTACAGGGCCCCAGAGCTCTGGGAGAACATCAGCTGAGAGCAGCAGGGCGTGCTTACAGTGGGAGCTCGGGGAGGACCACTTCTTCAAACCCAGGCTCCCTGCCTGCTTCCCAGGCCCCTCCTTCCCCATGCTTGACACAGAACGGCTGACTCTCATGCCCTACTCTCCGGAGTAGGCAGGGGGTTTCCTGTTTGGTGGAGACTCATCATCATAACATAGAAACTGAACCTTCAGCTTCCCATGAGGAAGGAGGATGTATCTGAAATCTAGGAAGAGTCATCATCTGAGGTGTCCCAGGCCAACAGCGGACACAGGGTCTCTTGCTTTGAAGGCCTTACCCTCTGGCTGTGCTGAGATAACTATGCGTGACAGGGCGGGGTGAGCAAAACTGGTGGCTTGCCCCCAGTTCGAGATATGGACTGTGTCCTGCACACAAACAGAGCGGAGGCTAGGTTGTTAGGAGAAACATTCTGCAGGGGTGCTAACCAGACCCTGGGTAGACAAAAGGATTGTGGGCATAACCACCTTAGTGAGGCCAGTAGGTGACTCTGATTCTTGTGAATTCCAGCTCGCTAAGCACAACCCCAAAGGTGAGGGGCGACCCTTTTCTCTGAAGGGCCTGGTCAGTAAGAGGAGAGGCTGCAGCCTGTGGTAGTCCAGAGGGAGCCTCATGGGTGACGGCGCAATATGTTAGTGATGGGGTGCTCCTAACTACAACTACTCAGGCTTGCTCACATCATCATCGGCATGTGGGTGGTGGGGGTGCAGGAAGCCAGGGCCTTCCTCACATAACAGGCATCAGAGAAGGGCTGCCTGCACATGCGAGACCAGAGCATGAACCCTTCCCACAACATGCAAAATGATCTCTCCCAAATAGAAAGGGCTGGGTCCTAGAGGTTCACTCTTCTAAGTCTTGACACAGGGTCTCTTTCTGGACTTGCTGGGCATTGCTTGATGTTTAGGTTTCCCATTTGGCCCTACCCTCGACCCTCAGACAAACTGGGACAGATTGGGGACTTTGATGTTGAGGTCGCCGATGTTGATGTTCCGAGGAATCTCAGGCAGATTGATGTTCTTCACAGCAGACACAGCCCGGGCGGGGGCTGCTGAGAGGCCACCCTGGGAAGAAAGGAGAGGCAGCATAAGAGGCAAATTCCCATCATCTGTTCTCCATTTACAAAAAGCAGGGGACAGTGGCCTCGAAGTCCAATCTGAACACACGTCATCCAGTTTTGATTTTTCCTCCGTACACCTCACAGGGAGGCAGACAGCAAAAAGGATAAAGACAAAGGCGGAGACAGGGCAGTCTTTGGACTAGAAGGGCTTATCCAAACACTGTCCTCCTTCACGGAGGCCGTGCCTCATGTAGCTTGGTTGCTCCAGCAGCCAACAGTGCCCAGCACATGGTTGGTGCTCATCAAGTGATGGCTGAAATGACGTGCCATAGCTACATTCCACATTAGAGCACTTTTCAGGTTAGGAAACGAAATAAAACTAAACAAAAGAGGCCCCCTTTTTTTCTCTGAAGAGACTGAAGATTTATAGACAGACACAAGGCCACAGAGAAATTCTTAAAAGGGAAAAGAATGTCAGAGCTCTTAAGCAACTGCTGGCCAACTAATGACAGGGGGCAGAGTTGGCCTGGGCAATGTCATGTGGTACCAAGCTGGGTGGAAAGAGCACAGAATGCGGAGCCGTGTGGCCCTGGCAAGGAAGCAGCACAGACATCGGCCACTGCCAGCTTCATGCCAGTATGTGCAAAGATGGCTGGCAGAGCCTCCCCTCACAATCATCTTCCCCGACTGGCCACTGTCAGGGTACTGAAGCCAGCTCTAGGTTCACTCTGCACGTCTCCTTTTCTGTTGGTTTCCAAACCTCTTGCCTCTGACTCACTCACTATTCCTGGAAGCTTCCCAGCTTGCATTTCGAAAAGAATGGTAGCTGCCACAATAGCTGTGGTCTGGAACAACCTCTTCAGTAGGGCTGCCAGTCATTACAGAAATAATTCCTGGTTTCGTTCAGATTGAATTCTGCTACAGTTAGTAAGGGAACTCTTTAAGGCACTCAGATAACTAAAGAGGCAACGTGTTCTGCTATTTCTGCTATATGTAGAGGTGTGTGCCTATAATCTCTACTCCCTGGAAAGATGGAGGAAGGAGATGGCGAGATCTTAGGAGGATGAACAAGGGTTTACAAAAACCCTAACTCACTGCCATCGTTGAGTTGATGCTGATCCATAGTGACCTGATAGGACAGGGCAGAACTGCTCCTGTGGGTTTCCAAGACTGTAGCTTTACGACAGTCCAAAGAATCATTTTCTCCCATGAAGTGACTGATGGTTTCAAACTGCTAACCTTATGGTTAGCACCTCAGTGTGTAACCCACTACACACCACAAAGCCTAAGGGAAATACTTAAAAACCCAACCCAACCCTTTATAGCTTTTGATAATATTAGCTGGAAATAAGTAACTCCTACCACAGGTATGATGTCAGACTCCAGTTCCCAAGCTCCTTAATTCTAGTGAAAGCAAAAACCCACTGCAATTGAGTAAATTCTGACTCATAATGACCCTATATCCAGTTTCTGAGACTATAAATCTTGATAGGAGCGCACAACCTCATCTTTCTTTTGTGGAGTGGCTGGTGGGCTTGAACCATTGACACTGTGGTGAGCAGCCCAACACTCAATCCACAGTGTCCCGAGAGGAGGGCTCCAGTTAGCCCTAGACAAAGGTAAAGTAGTGCTGATAAGGCTAACGAGAAATAAGATGTCATGGTTATGGTGGTTTAACTGTTGGCTTGGCTAGGCCCTGGTTCCCAGTGCTGTGGCAGATACCTGGTGATCACCTTCCACTTTGTGATGATGTCAGCAGTCAACCAGTTAGGAGGGGAGTCCCTCTGGGAGTGTGCCTGGTACCCCCAATAGCTGGGTGCTCTGACAAAGCTCTCACTCTCTCGGGCTTGCATCCAGTCCATTATTCTCTGACTTCTGGTTCTTGGGGTTTAGGAGGCAGTGGGCTGCCTGCCCTACTGATTTTGAGTTCATTAGCCCCTGCAAACACTCCTGGGACAACCTGCAGTCTGAAGGCTGGCCCAGCAGATTTGGAACTAGCGAGCTTCCACTACTACCAGCACCATGTCTGGAAATAAAGCGCTCTCTATAAAGTACTTATACATTTACATGCCACTGGCACTGTTCCTCTAGAGAACCAAGCCTAAGACATAAGGAAACTGGCAACCCTGCGGCCTGACTTCATACCCGTTGACTCCAGGCCGCAGAGCTGCCAATTTCCACATTTTCAGTTAGCCTTAGACAGAGTTACAGTAGTGTTTGGACTGTAACCACCCGCACAAACCACGGACCCCCATGGGCTCTGGCTAGATCTGAAAGATCCCATGAGAAACACAGTGAGGAGGTCAGCCTCGGCGAACACATAAGTCAGGAAATCACACTGGAACTGGCTAAGAAGATGCTGGGTCCCTTCAGAGACCCTGTGGCTCTGAGAAAAGGGGTTAGAAGGCCCAGCAGCAAGCAGGCCAGACTCCGTTGGCCTTCCTCTGCCACCCCAGGCCTTTCCAGTCACACTTCAGGCGTAAAGTCTGGGCTTCCAGACCTCGTTTCTACCTGTGTGATTTTCCAGAATGGCCTTTCCATCAGCCTGCTTGAGTGAACTCCAGGAAGAAAGCAGATGAGCACAGGCACACCCACTGTATTGCACTTCACAGATAATCACTATTGTTGTTTGACAAAGGGAAGGTCTGTGGCCACCCTGGAGAGAGCAAGCCTATCGCCTCCATTTTCACCACCGTATGAGCTCCCTTTGTGCCTGTGGCAGTTACATAATATGTCAACTTGAGTGAAGGGGTGGACTCTAGCCTGCCAATCAGGCCATAGCCAATAATGCCTCTGCGTGAGCATGGCCTTCTCCAAAGGATTCTGGGAACTCCAGTCTTCCTCCTTGGAGGCGGGACACAAACTCTCCCTGCAAGACATTCTTGTGGACAAGCCACATGGAGCTACGCTGATGGAGCCAGAGCCCTGGAGCTAAAGGAGCCACATGGAGACCCACGCCAGCTGAGATGCTTCCACCACTGCTGGATCCACAAGACTTTCCACCTACTGGCCTGTGATCTTCCTGCATTCAGTGTCATTGCATGTTGCATGAGTCTGAAGAAGAATTTATGTACTGGCATTGGACATTTGGGCTAATATCGGGCTTATGAACTTGATCTGGACTGGGGTGAGATGTTTTTCTTAATATACAATTACTCTTTGATATAAAATTCTTTCTTACACACATAAGTGCCTCTGGATTTGTTTCTCTAATCAACCCAGACTAACACAGTGCCTGTGTCTCATTTTGCTTAAGTCTCACAACATTCTAGAGTATTCCATAAAGGTCTATGAAGAGTGGAAGGGTATAGTGGTTGACCTGTACTAGGAACCCAAACACTGACCTGCTTGCCTTACGGTGGTATCAGCTCTATAATTGAGGTCTGGAAGCAAACGCCAGTATCTCTGAGCTAGACCTGTATTGAATGTTGCCCATGTTTCCAAAGCAACACAGAGCAACACATGTACATTGTATACCCTCTGCCCGGGTCTTTCTTCTATCAGCCAGGACAGGAGTCCAGCTGTTCACTCACCTCTGATTTCTCCAGCCTGTTTTGAGCTTCAATCTGAGCCACGATTTCATTCATGTTTGTTTCCAACACCATGCCACCCATCACCACCTCCTGAAGGATATAGTGCACCTAGAGGGGGAGGAAAAAACGGAGGGTCAGTGCCCTGGGTGGTGGGTAGGGTGCCACCTAGAAGGAAGCCTTACGGCTTTTCCAGCTGCAGGGAGCCAATCATGACACCAGGCCCCAATCATCATCTCAAGTGGGGTCCTGAGGTGAGGCAGCTCCCCACTGTTGTGGGCAAAGCACAACAACTCTCTCTCCTTAGCAAGGTGGTGGTGGTGGGGGTGAGGTGGTGGCCGAGAGCCCAGGCTGTAGGGCCAGACTGGGCCTGTTTAAATCCCACCTCTACTATTTGTGAGTGCTTCGAAATCTTGCCAGGACTGTGGTGAGGGCTAGAGACAGCGTGGGAGGAGCACCTGGTCTGGCAGTGAAGGTTTTCAGTTACTGATGTGGTCACCCTAACTGGTGACCGTTAAGCAAGCTAGGCTCTGATAGAACACACGAAGCTGCCATGGGACTCTCCCAGGCTTCACCAGCCCGGGCCTCCAGCCCGCGCTCTGCTAGAGGGAAGGGACCTCACCCTCCAGCCTATGTCTCTATCTCCTATGTACAGCATACATAAGAACCAACTTAGAGTAAGGACTCAGCTAGACATCATCATCCCTGGACCCTCAGTTTTTAGCAAGCCAGTAGTTCTCCAAACAAAGCTGAACCCAGTGCATCCAACCGCCGTGATGACATAACACCCCCTCAACCATGGTCTCTTCTCCCCACGCCTCCTCCCCGCCCTCTATGGGCCATGGAAAGCCCTGGCTGAGTCAAGTCAGACTTGCCCATTGGGCGGTACTTCCTATTTCAAATCCAATCCAATTGCATCTAGGTGGCCTTCAAGGTGTTTTATAGTCAAATTGGGAAGACTGCCAGGATCACCTTGTACTGTTAACTAAGCCAGGAGCTGACAAACTAGTCCTGTAGGAGCTTGGAGGTGGCAGAGAGCTGTGGCCACAGAGACCACAGATGACTTGAGAGAGACAGTGAGAAGCTGGGCGCTGACATCACAGAAGCAGAGCAAGAATTTTAGTTGGAAGGCACTGGAGGAAGCAACTCTGCTGGGACCTGGACAGGTCTGAAGAGCACATTGTTCTGGTTGAACTTCAGGTTTTGGCAAGAGAAAGGCTTACGCTAAGGCTGAGAAAGGAGCTCAGGCCTAGAGCAGGCCTTCTCCACTCAGAATACTGACAGTTCGAAGCTGGAACATTCTTTGCCCTGTACGCCTCTGCCCACTAGACTGCCCAAACTCTCCCCAGTTGAGAATGACGTGTCTAGAGTCAAGCCTCTCAACTGCAATGGATGTAAAGATGTACTCTGTAGTCACTGAAGAGCCAAGAACAAAGACGCACCTGTGTGCATGTGTGCGTGCATTTTTGATATGTTCTCCGTTGGCACATCAGTTCTTTGTGTTTTGCCCAAAGAAAAGGGAGAGACTTTGTGAACAGTTATATAGAGGGTCTATCTACTGACCTTTGGGTCAGTGCATTTCCTTACATGTACCTTCACCAAACCCGATTTACCACTGTTCTGTGTGTGTACACACACACACACACACACACACACACACACACACACACACACTTTCTAGTTTTATGCAAATTACTTTGTTATCCATATGCAGATGAAGATTTAGTACATAAGCCTCACATTTAGAAAATCTGCAAAGTGTTATGCAATGTGGGTCTGAAACTAGTCCCTGGGGAACTCTACTGTTGATGCTGCTCCAATAAGAAATGGACCTCAACTACAGTGGTTCCTTGGTTTAACCAATGCCTGCCTTCTTCCTGGGGGCCTATAGGACTACATGAGGTACGGAATGCAACCTCCATTGTAGGTGTGAGAAAGTGATACATGGAAAGAGCAATAAACAATCCCCATGCCAAGTTTTGTACAACTGCAGAGTGCACGCGGCCCCTTTCACACCGTGCATTCTTCAGAACCCCAAACTGCTTTCCACTCTGTCCATCCCTTGTCATCAGTCCATCTAGGGTCACTGAGAGACCTGGCCTACTGTGTCAAAGATCTCGGCTGCATTACTTCATGCTTCAAGCCCCGAGGCCTGAAGCAATGCCAGTGAGAGGAGGCAGATGAATGAACGAAAGGCTTTTCAAAGAAGAGAAAGCACATTTCTTGGGCTGCAGAGGCTCTGAAGATGATGGTAATGTAGGTGGTAGTGCATGCTTTATAGAAAAAGGCCTCGTAAACGGTTAATGGGACCAATGGGTGCTTACCGTATATACTTGTATATAAGCCGAGTAGTTTTATTTTTTGGAGAAATAAGATCATTTTATTAAAAGGCATAGGAGTGGAACATAATAAGTAGAAGGTTCTATCATATTCATATCAATCCAGAAAACCCATGCAATTTCTTTTTTTAAAAAATACTTTTATTGGGGGCTCTTACATCTCTTATCACAATCCATACATTCATCCAGTGTGTCAAGCACATTTGCTGCCATCATCATTTTCAAAGCATTCTCTTCCCACTTGAGCCCCTGATATCAGCTCCCCATTTTTCCCCCTTCCCACACCCTCCCTGCCCTCCCTCATGAACCCTTGATAAGTTATAGATTATTATTTCCATATCTTACATCGTCTTCTGTCGCCCTTCATCCACTTTTCCATATTCGTCCCTCTGGGAGGGGGTTCTAGGTTGGTCCTCGTCCCTCTGGGAGGGGGTTCTAGGTTGGTCCTTGTGTTTGATTCCCCCTTTCTCCCCCCACCCTCCCCTAATCCTCCTGGTATCTCTACTCTCATTGTTGGCCCTGAGGGGTTTATCTATCCTGGATTCCCTGTGTTTCTGGCTCTTACCTATAGCAGTGTGCATGTTCTGGTCTAATCCAATTTGTAAGGTAGAATTGAGGTCATGATAGCGAGGGGAAGGAAGCACCAAAGAACTAGAGGGAAGTTGTGTGTTTCATTGGTGCTATCCTGCACCCTGACTGGCTCAGCTCATCTCTTCCCTGTGACCCCTCTGTGAGGGGATGTCCAATTGTCTACAGATGGGCATTGGGTCTCCACTCGGTGCCCACCCACCCCCATCACCTTGGGTATGGTTTATTAAGTTGAGTTCTCCAGCACATTTTTAATGCAGTTTTTGTGGTAAAATTAGGTGCCTCGGCTGATATTCGGGTCAGCTTATACTCGAGTATATATGGTAATTAAAAAAGTTAGTTAAGACTTATGATTTGAACACGGCACATAGAGCCACCATATCCAATGCTGCTAAAAATGTGCTCCAAATACAAAGAGAAGTAAATACAAATGCAAGCTCCATTTTCAACACAAATAGAAGATAATCAAAACCTCAGACCCCCAAACAGGTGGAGAAGCTGTCAAAAGCAGGGCACTTCCTATAAAAACTTGAATTGGACAAAGGTGTGTGATAGATCTATGTACAACAGTGATTCAAAACTGCTGAGGTGGCTTCTATACAGTGAAATACCTCATGGGATTTGGTTTGTTCATTTAGAGGTTCTGAGTCCTGGCTTCTATGGGGCACTACAGTCTAAAGGCCAAATACCAGTAGTGTTTAATGCTGCTGTTCCACCTCCGACTGTGTTGCATAGTGTCTGTGCTCTTAGAAGTTTGCAAGACATCATCCATGGCACAACAACTGGTCTCTGTTCATTCAGAGAAAGAGAGGAAGAAGCAGCACCAGGTATAAGAGGAGGACAACCACTGCTTCCGTTGCCATGAGACCACATCACTGATGGGGTCATTACTGACATTTCAGTCCAAGAGTCCACAGGAAAATCCTGATCACAAGGGGAAACACAGAACAGCATTTCAAATTCTCACGACTCTAGCCTTTCTCCAGGAGAGTACATGAAAACCTGAAACTATTTCCCTGAGATCATCTTTAAACCTTAAACCACGAACATCTCCTGGAGCTGCCTTAAACTTAAACAATAGTTTAATTTAACTAGTAAAAAAGGTCTGCCTTGAGCATAATACTCTTTGAAAAATTATATGGGCTCAAGGTGACAACAGCCTCTCAAAAGATTAGACAGACTACTTGGGGGGGTGGGCAGTGCGTATATGTTACTAGGGGAGGAACAACTCAGAACAGGAGGATGATAATGGTAGCTGTGGAATAGTAAAATGTCTTAATATGGCCCTTTTACCCAGGTCTCATCGGGAGCCTGGTGGCATAGTGAACTACTTGTTGGACTGCTAAACACAAGGTCAGCAGTTTGAAACCACCAGTTGCAACCTGGAAGAAAGACGGGGTTTTCTATTCCCATAAAGAGTCACAGTCTCAGAAACCCACAGGGGCAGTTCTACCCTGTCCTATAAAGTCTCTGTGAGTTGGCACCGACGTGATGGAAGGCAGTGAAAGAGTGAGTGAGAGACTTACTCCCTTGGATATAAAGATAAGGCGGGGGCTGGGGGGGAGACTCTGGAAGAGCAATGTTCCAGAGACTATAGGGCAGATCAGGAGAAGCAGCACTGAGACTATGAGACAGGTCAAAGGACCACATGGCGGAGCGGCTAAGGACCAGTGAAAAACTTGGCTACTGGCTGAAAGGTGTTGCTGTGGATCAATGAATGCATCCTTACTGACCCTGACTTGTGGTAATATATTAACTTCCCTAATAACCCCCATAATCCTGTATTGTGAAGTCCGTGTGATCACAGCAGCAATTATTGAGCCCAGCACAGAAGTAGAGTTCGTGGGAGGAAAAGCTGGCATGAGACTAAGAAAAGCAGGATGGAGCATGGAGGCGATGGGGAAGGCAGTTTCCTTCAAGGAGAAGGAGAGCGAGAGCGAGAGCCTTGTAAAGTAGTAAGTGCTTCTAGGTGTTTAAGAGGCTCCATTCCCAGTCTTTTAATATAGATCTTACCCAAACCTAATTCAGTGAGGAAATCTGATTCACATAGAGGACACTGAAAACCACAAGAATAGAAAAAAACAAAGACATGAAGTTCCTGAAGAGCCCCAAACCCAGTCTTACCCTGTGTACATGGGACAAATACAAAGTCTCCAGTAATAATGAGTCACACCTTTCTGTTAA